GGCGATTTACGGGAAATTTCTCGTTCACATGACATTTTCCATTTTTCAAGGATTTTCTCATTGGGGAGACGGAATGTCGTGGGAAAATTCGGTGGGACTCGATTTCTTCGGAGCAATTCCAAGGAAATCCATGGAAAATTTGGAATATAGTTCTTTCATTTACAGATTATTCGGAATTTTCAGGGGTAAATTAATCTTGGGTTCTCAGTTGGAGATTTGTAATCGAGGGTTTTGGAGATTTTCTCATTTTTACTGACAATTATAGAGAAATTTATCAAGTGTGGAAATTTTCCAATTTTCTAATTTTCGCAAAAAATTATAAAAAATGGGTAAAATTAATGCTAAAAATCTAAAATTTTGGGAGACAAGGGGAATCCTTTGAGAGCATATCTGAGCGAAATTTCAGATCGATCGGTCCAGAAGTTTCCGAAATATTTCAATTTTTCCAATATCTCAAAAACTACTGTTTTTTAAATTCTGTCGAATTGAATAAAAATCTATTTCTCCATTTTTCAATTAATTCCTCCACCACGGAAATAATCAATTATAAGAATGATCAGTAATAACCGGTGGTAATTGTTAGAAATTTTCTAATATCGAATACTCAAAATCGTAACGATTTTTCATCGCATTCTGATATTTCAATTTTTTCTCAGATTATCAATTTTTTTCTACAAGAAGATTATATACACGAAAATAGCAGGTTTGAAGACACAACCAACTTCAACCGATACCCGTTTAACTGATTCGCCAATTGATAATTTTCCCGTCTCAGAAAATTGTCAATAACAATGATTACCGCTAATCGCCACTCATAAACAAGAATCAACAATTTTTATCACTCAATCCTCGGGACCTTTTCCCTCAAGTATTTCCCATAATTCATCCATCACCTCCTGTCACTCAATTTCCCCTCAAAGTTATTCAAAATTATCACTCATTAATCAATAACAGATCAGATAATTAACAATTAAAAATTGAGTTAAATAAATAATTAATTAGCGAAATGGTAAAGCGTTCTAAAAAAATAAGTGCCTCTTCCTTGTTTCCAGTTCTCAGCCAATATCTCGGAGTTGACGTGACCTTGCAATTTTTTCGCATTAACATTTTTTCTAGAGAATTATGAGTGCTACATAAAAGGTAATTATGAAAATATCGGTATTTTCCCTCAATTCCGAGATATTCGCTGAAAACTCATCTCGAAAAAACGACGCAATGTGTGCAATAATGAAAATTTAATTAATGAAAGTAAATGAATTGAAATAAAAATAAAAAAATTAACTAATTAATAAATTGGTTTGTTTTTATCATTTTAATTTGAAATAACGCATCAGGACCGACAGCCATGATGAAATAAAAAATAAATTCATTATTTGCTTATTTGTTTATATTTATCTGAATCAACCACAAGACTTGTTCATTTTTTATAAATATGCTTACAATAAATTTGAATTCCCCTTTGATTTCAATTTTATTTCTTTCATTTTTTATTTTAACACTTCAAATCAATTTATTTATACAACTATAAACTATACGGGTGCAAGGGAATAATAATAATTAAATAAATATAGAATTTCCTGAAAACGCAGGAAAATTCTTCCACGCCATATAATAAATATAACATTATATATATATTAATAATATTACATAATAATAAAATTAGAAAATGATATATTTTTCACTCCATTTTATTAATAATTGTTCTGCATAAATTTCTAAAATATAGGAATATTTAAATAATAAATAATAATAAATAAAAACAAAATGGTAGTTTACCACTTGGCAAGAATGACAGATGACGAATGACGATTTTAATAGCACGAGTCGGAAGTTTTTCTCCTAAGGGCATTATTCTATCCATCATATTTTAATAATCCCCGGGAAGATGATTTTACATTGTTGCATAGCAATGTCGTAACAATAACCAAAGGCATAATAGCTTTTGTAGTGAAAGGAACACGCCCTTTGAGGATCCGTAACCGATCTGAATTATGTGACGTGCCGATTGAAATGAATGGACCACAAGACACCATCGGTAAGTACAGGTAAACGTATGCCCCCTCGGTACAATGTGATTCCATCGTTACCCCCCACCCTCGGTCATTACTTCAAGAAGGAAGAAATGGCGTAGGGAGGTATCGCGATGGTATAAATTCACTAGGAAAATTCAACCCAGGGGTATTCCAATCCCAGACAAACCCAAGTCTTCCTCGATCCATTCACCCTCTCCCTTTTATTATTTTTCTATTAATTACACCAATTACCAATTACACCTAGGACAATAAATATGAAGATTCTTGTGAGTGCATAAACTATTATATTTATTATTCAAGTACTTTCATTCGTTCAAAATTATTTCAACATTTTTTGATATACATTCTGACGAGTAAATTTATTTATTTCATTTTTAGTTATTTGTTGATATTTGTTCTTATTTGTTCCTATTTGTTGCTATTTGTTGGTATTTTTTTCAAGCTCTCGCGAGACTTTTCCGGGGAAAAAAATCACGGAATCTTTCATTCTCGTTTAATTGTACCGCATAAATTACTGACAGTTAAGTTTTTGAAAATTACATCTCGGGGAATTTTGATTTGAAGTTTCAAGTTGTGTAATTCTTCCGGGATTAATTAATTTGATAAATCAGTGCACGAACTTTTAATAAAAATGGAATAAATTTTTCTGTGCAGCTGGCATTTTTCGGTCTGATGATGACGGCTCAGGCACAACTCAAATATCCTCAATACAACAATCCTGATTACTACGGCCGGCGGATTGCAATTATACGACAAAGTCACGATCAGGATTTTGGAGGAGCATACGCCTATAGGTAAATTACACAACAAATCTCTATAATTCACAGCGAAAAAAATATTCCCATAAAAACTGGTAAGTTAACATTTTGGTGAAGAACTTTATCATTATTTCGATCGTAATTTGCTGTAATTTCAATTTTTTACTCATAAAGTGGTAAACTACAAAAAAATGCTATTTTTCCACCACCAGTTTTTACCCAATATCTCCGAATTGAAGGACGATACCGATTTTTTCGTGAATACCTTTTTTGTAGGTCTCATTCTTTCCTATAAAAAACATTCCTATGAAAAATTTTCTATTCTCCTTCAATTCTGAGATATCGACTAAAAATTGAACTCGAAAAAAATGCACTTATCGTAATTAACCATTTTCTTACGTCCCATCTCAAAAATTACATAAAAACAATTATAAAAAATATAGTAATAATTATTCCTGTAGATGACAAATCATCAGTAGCACTGAACAAATAGCTTGTCACTTTAAGGTGTTCTAAGTTGTCCCCAGTGTGATAAATGACTGTTACATCTCCCATCCATGTAAACACAATTCATTGAATGAATAAAATAACCGTGTGAGGCAGCATGTGGGCATGCAATTAGTATTGATATTAATCGCCTCGGGTATCATCACAATGCCATCGCGCAATCCGACAATTGTAATTAAACCCACTGCATCAAGAAGTGCGCAATTTTTATTTTGCACCTCATGCGCAGCTGCCCCCTCGAATCATCACTTCATTCCCCCGATCATTTTTTGCCTCTGATTTTTTTTCTCTCTCATATTGCATAAATATTGCAAAACAATAACATCTTTTCATTTTTAGTTATAAATAATTCGTTTAAAACTTGATTTAGTATTTTTTCTTCGATTTATCTGAAATCGAAATCGAAATCGAAATCGAAATCGAAATCAAAATCGAAAACTGAAATCGCCATTTATAATATATTTATTACATATATTATATTATTATTATTATTATTACTGGAATATAGGGTCAGGGAATCATAAATAAATGTAACACCAAAAACACAAGATGAGATGGAGTTGAGTATTTATTAAGATAATTTGTTCACGTGAATATCTGGAGATAAGAACTAACTAGTCATAAATAAATATTGAAGTACCTCTTACATGCTATTCTAGAATGTTATCTGTAGTATAAACAATTCTGAATGCCGACCACAAAAGCAATACTCTAAATTTATTGAGTTATTATATACAGGGTGTATTAAAAAAAATAAATGAATTATTTTGCTCATTGCAATAATTACATGATATTATTATTATATTAATTTATAATATTATTATAATTATTAATACAATATGATATTATTAATTATGAATAATATCATTAATTATAATAATATAAATTAATATTATGATAATATCATATCATTATTGCAATGAGCAAAATAATAAAAAAAATAATTGACAATAATATATGATATTATTAATTATTAATAATATCATGTAATTAGGATGTATAATTATGATTATGATTACGATTATTATCTGTACCGAATGACAATTAAAATGAAAAATGAAAAATGAAAAATGAGAAAATGAAAAAAATGAAAAAAATGAAAAAAATGAAAAAAAATTGTTTTAAAGTTACGACACGGAGAATGGGATATCGGTAGCAGAACAAGGACAACCAAAGAGTCTAGGAGGTGCTGGACAAGCGGAAGTTGTTCGAGGACAGTACAGCTACACAGCACCGGATGGTACCCCAATCTTGGTAACATATCAAGCCGATGAAAATGGTTTTCAAGCGACTGGCGCCCACTTACCAACACCACCACCAATTCCACCTGCAATTGAAAGGTCCTTGGCATATAATGCTGCCCACCCTGAAGAGGAGGAACCGTACAATAGGAGATACTACGGCCAAGGAAAGTAATTGACGAAGAAAAGTCATGGGAATGAATGAATACTGGAAAAAAAAAAAGAATAAATAAATGGGGAATAAACTATGCAGCAGGACCTGCCAAGCGTCGCTCTTGCAATATCTGCTTCCGTGGAGAGAGAAATGATGGATTGGCGGATGAGAATATTGTTGTATTGACCGAAGCAATTACGAGCCATTCATTATTTGCTTATTTGTTTATATTTATCTGAATTAACCACAAGACTTGTTCGTTTTTTATAAATATGCTTACAATAAACTTGAATTTGCCTTTGATTTCAATTTTTTCTTTGTTTATTTTTTATTTTGACACTTCAAATCAATTTATTTATACGACTATAAACTATAGAGGTACAAAAGAATAATAATAATTGAATAAATATGGAATTTACTGGGAACGCAGGAAAATTCT